CTCTTGAACAGAATGGCTTCGCAAGCGCGGGAATGCTTTCAGACCACATTTCGAACCACATTATTACAATAATAATAATTATTATTATTAAATTATGAATTCGAGTATTGAACAAAATTGGAAAGCCTGACTGAAACATGAGGCAATTATTTTGTAGAGCATTGAATTAATAAGCGAAAACGAAAATATATGACTATGAAAAATTTTTAATTTACTTTCATGTTTTTACGGAAAAAAAATTTTAATCTAAATAATATGCAAATAACACAGGACAATTACTGTATATTATAAATGAAAATAAAAATAAATCTCTCACATTTTTGTCAGTGAAAAGTTTTTGAAGGGCTTCAGCTCTTAGCATTACTTTCCATCGTCGTCAGATAAAGTTAAAAAAGTTATTATCTATTATAGAAAATATGTAAGTTATCAAATTGGAGCACGTGGCATTGATAGGCAGTGATAATTTCTAACGTTAGCCATAAATATGAACAATCAGTACTATCTACAGCGTCAAATTTAAAAATTTTTAAAATATTTCAAGTTGCATATTTCTATATGACATGTAATTGCCTAAATAGTAACTCAAGACATTAATTGCAAAGCATTTAACTTTAAGAAAAAATAAAAGTCGATTATATAATTGTACAAAAAAAGTCGAAAGTACTGCAAGTTTGCAAGCATGGCAGAAGGTGTAGATTCAAAAGGAAGAGTCTTGCCGAGGCAAATGATTCGAATTCAAAGAACTGAACCTGAAGAGAATGTTGTACGTACGGAACTACGTTACGTAATTTACCAGTCAAAAAGACATTTGGATGATAAAGCTCTTTACGAGGTAAAATTTCAAAGATAATTCAAGCATTTTCATTCTTATTTGATTAGCTTTAAGGCTGAGCTTAAAAATACATTGAAGGATAATGTTGTTAGTGAAGCCGTGCAATGTTTAATGAAGAAATATGCTGAAATGAATTCAGGATACGCTTTGCCTCCACACGTACCAACTATTGATGCTACTAAATTTGCAAAGGTTTTTAAACTTAATTACTAATATTTCTTATTTAAATATAATAAAAATAATTTTTAAGCAAAAAATGTACAAATAAAGTGTAATTGGGAATTTGAGAAATTTTCATGACAAACCGCAAAGATATTCATAAATTTATTGTTATATGATGTACATCATTAAGATTCTAAACACAATTTATTCAGAAATTACCAGAAGAAGAAATACAAACATCGCCAACATCCCCAACATCCCCAAAATATATTAGTGATAAAGAGTGGATTGCTGAGGCCTACAGACGACTGCAAGTATTTTTTTACCACTACAACTTATAATTTTTATGGTACATAAATCTTTGAGCTAAAATATCACTACTTTGGATCAGTTTTTGACAAAGACTTATTTCTTTATCAATAATCTCATGTTTAGAACAAATATAGAAAACAAATCTCAAGAAAATTGTTACTTGTAATTTGAAACGGTATTTTTTCTAAGTATCACAATCATATATCATTTTAGATGGTAGCAAAACGTGTACAGAATATTGAAAAAAGTGCGACGTTAATTGGCCCAGAGTTTTCGCATTTTCAAGCGCAACTTACATCGTTACTTACGGATCTTGAAGAACGCAAACGAGCTGGTGCCAGTCCTGACGCAATTTATAATGATGAATACTTTTGCGAAAAATTAGAACAATTACAACAATTCGCGGCTAAAACTGCATGTGTAAGAGAAGATTACATGAGAGAAGCGACAGTTCTGCTTGAAAGTCGCAACAAATACACTATATTAAATAATTTTTATCATTTAAACACAAACTCATATTTTCGAACGAAAATGAATTTGTATTTATATGACTTCATAGGCATTTTTTCCAACAAAAAATTAAAAGGTCTGAAAATTTTTAAATTTCTCAAAACAAAGCATTAAATTTAAAATGTGCATTATATGAATTATTCAAATCATGAATACATAACTGCTGAATAATTAGCCGCTGTAAGCATTATCTGTACGTATTCTAGAATCAGAAGAACATTTTTGCTGCAAGCAATGTTGATAACAATCTTTGAGCTAAACCAACGAATATCGCAGTTTCAGATGTGTGACAACATGGGAAGAATGCCTGTAGAAAAAGTAAAGAAATCCAAAAAGGCTGATGTGAGAAAAAAGAAAAACTGCAGAAACAAATGTAACAAATAATGTTGAAAAATTGATATTTTGCAAAGTTTCAGTTGTTTACAGAATTTACGCAAATAAGAGAAAAGCAATCAGTTCATTAAATTTGCTCGTAGTGCTAATGGACAGTATTCATGGCTACTGTAATCCTTCAGTAATTGCCATGCGTTGCTGGCATCACCAATTCCTACTTGTGAAAAGTCCGTTGAGATTTGCAGAGTTTCCTTAGAGTTACTCTCAGGCCACTGAATTATCCAATAAATCACGAAAAGATAATCTGAAATTATATCACATCTGAGTGAGATTCATTCTATCACGAAAGCTACTAACGATAGCTCACTGTATTCAAGAAGATATCAGAATCAATCTGTCATTTCAACCAATTTGCTTGGAAAGACGCTTCAACTCATCAACTAATTCTCATCTACACATTGATATGACTCAAATTTGATCTATGGCAGACATAGCGAAAGTGACATATATGGTCACATTGTCCACTCTGTCCATACAAATAGTGTTGAGAGTAAGTTAGTTGCTTATAATGTTGTGAATTTCCGCTGTTGTCTTTTCCTCACGTAATTAGACGTGCCGTTTTCTGTGTTGAGCATTCAACGAATTGCCGAATCAACACTGCTTCTACTTACGGCATCTATTTTGATTACCATATTGTATCCATAAATTTTTTTTATCATTCTCATTTCATTTTCAAAAACACTCATCACCAGTGCACAGAAAGAATAAATTAGAATGAGTTATTTAGACTGCAGTTCATGCAAGCAAACGTTTTGTACGCATTCATTCACGTGCATCCCTTCTGAATTCATTCGATCTTAGCACATTTAAGACTTCTTTTAGTTTATTTTGCCAAAAACAATGCCTAAAAATAGAAGCTTAGAATACCGTAAAAATTCTTTTCATCGTTATTGAGACTACTGTATCCATGCTCATTCATAACCATATCACTCATGCTTAACGTGAAAAAAAGCGCGAGTGAGAGCAATATTCCCCAACATATTCAGAAGTAGCCAACGAATGAACTGATATTTAGTTCAATCGTGCTGGAAGTGTTGCCTACAGCGAGATGGCAGTGACTCTTGGAGTGAAGCACATTTGCATACATCGAAGGTAATGTGTCTGCGAATCTAAGTAAGATAAAACTAGAACTAACTGCTAATGCCACTCATTGTAGACTACGTGCTAGTCATGAAGCAGTTGCTTGTAGTCCTTTGCCTAATCCCAAGTGCGATTGCCTTTCAAAAATATAAAGTTTCAAAGAACTACGCTAAAACTTTGGTAATTCCTTCAACTCCGGAAAACTACTAAAAGCTTTTCACGCACTGTTGCACAGTAACATCTGTCTGTTCTGTGGTGTACTGTACTACAAGTCCTACAAAGTATAAGGAAGGGCTGAGTGATGTTAATCTTTGAACTTACGCCTTTTAATTTTGCAGGCAAAACCAATTGTTGTCACACGTGAATTGATATTAAGAAATATTGTGGATGCAAGATATGACTTTTCAGCGATTTACTGCTCTTGTTTACTGCC